AGCCTTGCAAATCCTTGGGATATATTATGTCATGTTTGTGGGATGAAGTTAAAAAGAGGGGATAAGAGTGAGAGAGAGTTTGACAGAGAAAGAGACAGAACAGAAATAATGGCTGCCATTTACTGCCTTGCTGAGTGTGTGTGCTGGGAGGTTGCCTGTATCATATCATTTAATCTTTGCAAAACCTCTATTTTGTAGGAGAGGAGACTGAAGTTCAGGGAGGGGAAGTATCGATTTGGTGGCTTTAATGTTTCATGTTCTTCTCTATAAGAGGGTAGACTCTGTAAGGCGGTAATTCTCTGCCATATCTGCATCTGGCCCACAGAACATGTTGAATGCATGTGTAAGTGAGTGAGTGAATGAATGAATGAATGAATGAATAGAGTAGCAAAGCTAGGACCCATTCTCAGGTGTGTTCCAACCTCCACATTCCATGCTTTCCCCGTTACCCCTTAAAAAAAATAGCTGTTCTTTATAAGTACCTGGGTGGAGCTATAATTTTTTATGTTATATTATGTATCTTATATCTTATTTTATGTTTTTCAATGTAATTGAGATCTAACCGATAAATAATATTGTATTAGTTTACGGTATAAATCCTAATGTGTTGATATAGGTATAGATAGTTGTGAAATGATCACCACAGTAGGTTTAGTAACATCCATCATTGTGCACAGTTATAAAATTTTTCCTTCTATGTGATGAAAACTTTTAAGATATACTCCCTTGGAAACTTTCAAACATACAGCACAGTATTGTTAGGTATAATCATTATGTGGTACATCACATCCCCAGAACTAATCTATCTTATTACTGGAAGTTTGTCCCTTTCAACCACCTTCGTCCACTTCCCTGGCTCCCCAGCCCCAGCCCCTGGCAACCACAGATTTAATCTCTGCTTCCTCCTTGGGTTTTATTAGCTTCCACACAGCAGTGAGATCATATGATATTTGCCTTTCTCAGGCTGACTTCACTTACCATAATGCCCTCAAGGCTGGATGGGCCTCCTATTTAACCCCTTAATTGGTTAAAAAAAAAAAAAGAAAGAAAAAGAAAGTGTTTTAATTAGCAGAAAGTTTACTGAGTTTAAAATACCTACCTATCTGATTATAACTTTGGTAGCAGATAAAGTATAAAGCAGAAGAGAATGTTGCAGACATTTAAAAAGTCTCCCAATGAGGAAAATATGCGAGGATGGTAAAAAAAAAAAAGGAAAGGCCATGTCTGATAAAAGATTTTTTTAATAAGTAAGTTCTGAGTCAGAGTAACTAATGACTCTGGTTCCTGATCTACAGTAGGTACTAAGTAAATATGACCAGCGGACTGTAAGTACTTTCAGATAATGATGACAAGTGCAAATTAGTAGTTCTTTAGGGGAAACTAATAACAGTGATTATTTCCAGAGGGGTAAAATACTGCTTAGCAAAGGTATAAGTTTTGCTGTTGTACACAGTACCAGTCCCTGGGCAAACTAAATCTTCGTTTGAATCACTGCATGTGGAAGATGAAGAGGGGCAGGTCCAGATGAAAGCTGGCCGTGGAGATGAGGCATTTATGTGAAACGGTTACCTGAAGACAGATTTAGCACATAAAACGTAAAACTACCCCACACCTATGCCCATTAAAGTGGGAGTTTGCCCACTTCTCTCCAGAGTTCACACGTGTCAGGAACCCAAGCTTTGAGGCACCTGGCTTCGGGCTGGCCACCCTCACCCTCTTCATTCCCTTTTGTCCAAACTGAACTGAAGTGTCCTTTTCTGCCTTTGAATTAATACGCAATGGGCTTGGCGGACAACTTACAAATTTCACCTGATGTTTCTCAAAGTACAAAAAGAATGTTTCCTTGGTTTTCGGTTATCAAACATCAACAATGTTATTTTTGGTATCGAAGCCCAGAAGCAAGGGTTGCAAGGGGCGGGGAGTGAGAAAGATGAAAAGGAAATCATGGGGTAAAATATTTGTAAGAGAATCCTGGCTTGCAGGGGGTCATTCCCTTCAAAACTAGTATAACTTCTTTTTTTCTATAAAGATTTTATTTGTTTATTTTTAGACAGAGGGGAAGGGTGGGAGAAAGAAAGGGAGAGAAGCATTAATGTGTGGTTGCCTCTTGATCACCCCCTACTGGGGACCTGGCCTGCAACCCAGGCATGCGCCCTGACTGGGAATCAAACCAGGGACACTTTAGTTAGCAGGGGGCACTCAATCCACTGAGCCACACTGGCCAGGGCAAAACTAGTAAAATTTCTATTTAGACTAATCTCTCTCTTTCTCTCCCCTCCCCCCTCCACACATACTTCTTCCATTTTCTTCTCTCTTCTTGGCTGTCTCTTACGTACATTTCAGAGTTTCAGCCTTAAAAAGGCAGGCCAGGGGCAGTTGAGAGGACACAATCCGGTTTTTCTAAAGGGTCATGTGCTGCCATGTTGATTGGTCTTTTTTTTTTAATTAAAATACTTTTTTGTTTATTTTTAGAGAGAAGGGATGGGAAGGAGAAAGAGCCAGAGAGAAACATCACTGTGTGGTTGCCTCTCATGTGTCCCCTACTGGGTACCTGGCCTGCAACCCAGGCATGTGCCCTGACTGGGAATCGAACTGGCTACCCTTTGCTTTGCAGGCCTGCACTCAATCCACTGAGCTACACCAGCCAGGGCCAGTCTTTATTCTTTTTTTTTTTGAAGCATAGCTGCTCATGGTAGAACTTGTCAGGTTAACTAGTGTAATATATTTAACTAGAGCAATATACTAGAGTAACAGAGTAATAATGACTATAGTAATATACTAGAGTAATATGCTAACCTATTTTGTGTTAGCCTTAGAGAAAAATATCCAAAGTTTTTCATAAGGAACACCTTGTGAAAGACTTCAGATTCTTGAATGACCGAGAGTTCGCTACTCTGACAGTGATTCATCTTAACACTTCAGTTTGAATGTCACATAACCCTGATAACTTTGTGGAACCTCAATCTTCTTATCCCAGCCGTGCTGTGATTTTTCTTTCTTATGGCTCAGTATTGAAGCCAGCACTGCCTGATGGACATCTCTGTGATGACAGAAATGTCCTCTGTCTGTGGACAGCTAGAAGCTGTCCAAATGGTAGCCTCTAGCCCCAGGTGGACCAGTGAGGAATGTGAAGCCCTGGGGGTTTGTGACTTATCAGCCACCATGTGACTTACCAAGGGCCACCCTGGTGGTTAGTGACAAAATCTGAATGAATTTCCTGTCTCTCGCTAGGATGCGATGGTACCTCATGTTTAGATTTCATCTGGGCAGGGAAAAGAAGGAGCCATTTCAGAAAGGGAGGCCTGCTTTTTGCATCTAATGACTGAGCGTGTATATGGGAATAGTATCACCCCCTCTTGCCTTGCGTATAACAGGTGACATAGAAATTCAGCAGTGCTACAAACATAGGACTGCGGATTAGGGATTGGGGCTCAGAGCCAGAACGAACAGAGCAAATCCTGAGGCCCCTTCCCTGTCTGCCTAAGGCTGTTCAGAACAGATCTGAATGCTGCGCTTATTATTTATTCATCCACAGATTGAGTACCTACGATGGTCCAGGTAGAGTGGGTGTCGGGAGTAAAGAAAATGGGTGAAGACAGCTGCAGCATTCAGGGCGGCAGGACACTGTCCTCCGGGGTGCACAGGCCTGAGACGGTTGTGCCTTATCTGTGGGTGTACTGCTGGGTTAGGGCTCTGGAGGCCAGATCTGGGGTTGAAATCAGTGCTTCACTTACTAGCTCTGTGACCCTGGACACACGCCTGAGATTAGTTCAGCCTTCTCTTTAAGGAGAGAGAAAATGCGGCCATTGTTGCTAAGATTACCTAAAATCATGCACTCGAAGCTCTGAGCATAGTGCCTCCTTCACAGTGAACACTCGTTAACTGCCAGCACTCACCACCACTACTACTGCTCCGGTATTAGCATTATTAGACATAAAAATGAGCCCAGTGAGGCATAATTCCTGAGATAAAGCAGCCAAAGGCACAGTGATGAAAAGGGTCAGGACCAGAGTTTGAGGCAGGTGGGAGCTGGCTGCCCTCAGGAGGGAGAATTCACCTCTGGCCCCCACCCAGAGAGCACTGCCTCTGAGCCGGAGGACTGGAGTTCTGGGGGTGTGCAAGCAGAGGCCCCTGACCAGCAGGGGCGTCACAGGCGGAAGGAAACGTCAGGCCTGCCGAGAAGCCGATCCTGGCCACACCTGTAGTGTCGCTTCGGAAGTTTCCTGAACTCGTATTTGTTGTCCTGGAGGTGTCGTTCAGGATGAGGGTAAACTTTAAAGCAAACAATGCTGTTCCCAGCACCTGTTTTGGTGGATTCTACAGTAAGCGAAAGAACCCCCCGAGTTAGTGTTCCTGTCCATGATTCAAAGATCCCGCCGTTCACCCATCTATCCACCCATGCTGCGAACACTGAACACCCACTGTGTCCCACCGTCCCGAAGGCTCTCTTCCTTATACACCTTATTTTTCCTATTCTCAGTTCAAGGTAGAAAGTAGTGAGTGAGAGGCAAGATGCATGTTGGTGAGTGCGGTTAGGAGAGGGGATGACTCCTCCTGGCAGGTTTGCTCACCCAGCCCGGCAGCGGCAGCGGGTGGAACTGTGGGGACAGGGGGGACCGTGGGACTGGTGGGCAGCTCACAGCTGGGAGACACCAGTATGAAACAATTACCTACTGGTGGTGTGTGCAGTAGATGTCTGTGTGTGTATATGGAAAAACGGCTGCTTTATGCTATTTAATAGCTCCAGCCACTAGCATTGTGATGGGTACACACTAAGGGACCAAATGACTTGGGTTTTGTTTTGTTTTATTTTGGTAAATTGTGTTTAAAAGTCTGTTGGAAGCCGGCAATAAAAGCTTCTGCAGCGGTGGGGAAGCCCTCCGAGGCAGGCCTGAGTTGGAACCGGACGGAGGAGGAGTCTGCGGAAGGCAGGGTAGCAGCCTTCCAATCGCAGGGTCCTGTCCGGGTGAAGCAGGCGTGGGTGTTTCGAGAAGGGCGTGCTCCGGTGAGCAGGACGGCCACCTGGGGAAATGTTTGCAGTCCCAGTCCAGTAGTTGCCTGGGGGCATCGCGGCGACGCTGCCCTGCTGGTCCAATGGGAGCACGCCCAGGACCTCAGGCTTAGCTATCTTTAAAACACCCAGCGGGGCGCCCCCCAGGTACCTCGCAGGTACCCCCAGGTATCTCGCAGCGCTCAGCTATCCAGACTCCGGTGAGTATTGCACACACTTAAGGAAACTTTGACATAGAAGCGGCTCCATGCGCAGGTCCCTGGTGGGGAGGAGGCAGGAGGCAACAGGTCCCGCGGCCGCTGGCCTCGCCAGCACCTCTAGGGCAGATGCCTTTCCGTGCGAGCCAGCCTCCTCCCAGAGCCTCTCCGGAAGCCTTCCCGGTGGTCCCCGAAGCAGCCTCCTTCATCATTCATGAGCCGGGGCCGGGAAGCAGGGCTGCAAGGGCAGCGGTAGAGGGTCACGCTGGCCGAAGCGGGAGCTGGACCGGGTGCAGGGTGAGTGTCTGCGTCCTCACCCGGAGGAACCTGGGGAAACGTCTGGGACCCGGCAGGGGGCTGAACGCACCCCCTTCTAGAATGCTAGGGGCGGGGAATGGGAAACCGAAGGGTTCTTTCTGCGCCCTTCACCTCCCAGTCCTCTGAAACCCCGCCGGGACACCTCGGCAAGTGATGCGAGCCCGAAAGCAAACACAGGGGCCACCGGGGCTGCCGGACCGGCGAGGTGGTCCAGGCACCCCGCCAGCCCAGCGGGACTCCGGGCAGGGTGAGATGCGCACAGACTTTGCCGGCTGCCTGGTGGGTCTTCTTTTCATTCACTGGAGGGGAGCCGGAGGCTGTGGTCCCCAGGTTCTGGGCGGGGAGTAGGCGCAGGGAGAGCGAGCTGGACCGGGACCGGACCCCAAGGCCATGGGCTCGATCTCGGAAGAGCAGCGAGCAGCGGACAAAGAGCAGTTTCGTCAGGAGCTTGGGACCTGTTCTGCAGCGAGCGGGTGCTGGGGTGGCACCGGGGGCGCGGGGCGCTGAGCCTCCTGAAGGGTATGGAAAGCGATCACCTTTCTCTGGTTTGCCAAACGGAGTACGCTGTGCACGGCACCTTAGCACCGGGGAGCTCTGGGGGCAGTGGGAGGCCATCTCCCCGCTTACGCCAGGGAGCGCGCTAACCCCTGACTTGAGGCGTCCCCTGCCCGCTTTGGGTGCAGAGCATGTGGGGGCCTTCGGCGACTTCAGATCCAGAACTAGGTGCTGGGGCGCCCCCGGCGGTAGGTGCGGGCCGGACAACAAAGGGAAGCATGGACAGAGGAAGAGCCTCGCGTTGTGGGCGAGTCGGAGCCAGAGGTCAGTTTCCCCGAAAGCCTGCACGGAGAGGGGCAAAGGATCCCGTCCCAGGATGGTACTGCGGTGGGGGGGGGCACCCATGCCAACCCCAACTGCGGAGCCCGCGCGCTCGCTCGGGGCAGCCGAGTTACTCCGGCAACCCCCTCCCCCAGGGGTCTGGCTAATTCCTGGATCCTCGCGTCCCGACCAGCCCTGCAGCCCATTCTTTTGTGTCCGGCTGTCTGGAAAGGCACCGGGGCGGAGGGAGCAGGAGAGATGGGGGCAGAAGAGGGTCGGCCTGGCGGTGGCTCAGAGAAAAAGCCTGGGGAAGCCAGGGCCCCAAGCTTCCTGCAGCAACAGGTTGCGCCCGCAGCACGCGGTGGCTGCTGACGACTCCGGGAGGTTTTCCAGTCCTGCAGGCTGCTGGTACCTTCATAAGGATAAGGTGTGTGATCGGTTTCCTTAAACTTACCTGCCCTGCGCTGCAACATAGTCCCCCGTGGAGACACAGCCATCTGCGGCCATGTGTTAGAATGAACTACCTGAAACTGACGTGGGTTTGTTTGTTTGTTTGTTTGTTTTTGTTTGGGAATGGAAGACTTGAATATCACCAACTTCGCATGATTCAGCTTGTGGGACCTTACTCCCTATGAGTCTTTCCTCGCTCCTTCGCGAGTTTTCTCTTTTCAGTATCTGTGGGGCCATCCTCTCTTGCTGGGGTCAGGGTGTTGGTGCTGGCAGGAGCACTACAGGCTTTTATCGACTTCGGGCTGTGTGCTGGGTGCCGGACTTGTTCCACCTCCAACCCTCGGGGCGACTGGAAGCCCCATTTCATAGATGAGCAAGGGAAATGTGGAGAAGGTATCAGTCACACTCAGACTCTGGACTCCAGCCGCGCTGTCTCTTCAGCAGCGCCTTTTGCTGTTGCTTCCTTGGTGCATCTCAATGTTTTTTTATGGACGGCCCTGCGATTCTGTGCCGGACTGTTTCTGCGGGTCTAGGACAAGGACACAAGCAAGTGCATCAGAAAAGGCAGGTCCAAACAGTAAAACTTTAAACCAAATACTGTTTTGTTGACTATTTAAAATATGAAGGAAATAGGTTTCACAGAGGGACCAAGAGCTACCTCTGAGATTTGTTAAAGGCCAGGGTGTTTTGTTACAAATAAATGGTAGAAGCCAACGCTGGTCATTGTATCTGGTGGCTTAGAGAAGGTGCAGGAAGGTGGGCCAGGCAGGCTCAGGAGCCCAGGGGAGCAGGACTCAGGACCTGCACCAGGACTCCTGAGTGGTGCATGGCCATGCTGTCACCTGGAGGAAACTCTGGATGTGGCTGCTGGCACTGCAGAGGAATGAGAAGCAATCTCTGCCTTGATGTGCTTCTCCATCACAAGCCCAGGAGACAGCATCTGAGTGAGTGGCTGAGCCGGAGCCACCCCCCACCCCCAGGGCACCATTTGGGCACCTCAGCTGGCCTCACAATGAGAGGCAGGGCTTGGCCACCGAAGACTCACAAAGGTGGGCTCAGAAGCCAGGTGGCTCCCATCATACCCACTCCCACCCCCGCAAAACCCCAGACGACAAACATCCAGTGCAAAGATCCTTTAAAAAGAAATTCCAAAAAATGTTCAATCAAAAGAAGAAATGAAGCTGGATGGTCACGGTGTTGGCTTTTAAACCAGGGTTTATGGAAGGAAATGTCCCACTCTGGACCTCAGGCCCAGAATCACATGAGGTATTCGCTTAAATTTCACATTCTTGGGCCCCTTCCCCAGTTTGAACTCATACTGCATTTGGAGTGAAAACTGAGGATTGTCACCCCCATAAACCAGAAAAACAGTTGAGACAGTTTTATTAATCAGTCTGGTACCTAGGCAAGAAGATATCCCCCAGGAGAGCTATTTCCAAAGCCTGCAAATTTGGGGGGTCCCAGCACAAAGTACAGCCCCTAGAAGGGTAGACCAGTTGGCTGCCTCTGTAGGCGGAAGTAGCCAGGACTGTCCATAAACAAATGTTTGATGCCATTTCGAAACAGGTCAATTAGGCCATTTTGTGAGTCTTCCCTTCACCATTTGATTTTGGCAGTCAGTCCTTGTTGAGTGCCTACTGTGTGCCTGACTCTGTGGGCACAGCCCACACAGCAGCTGGCCAGTGCGGTGCACAGTGAGAAGGGCAGTTCGCAGCCTTTGCCTTGCCTCTGCTGTCCGCGGTTGTGGTTGGAAAACTGGAGGCGTCTTTGGAAAGTGGCGTGAATGAGCCGGGCAGCGGTCAGGAACTGCGCCGGTTCTCAAACCTTCCGTGTTTGAAGAATTCCCTCACCAGGGGAGCTTGTGAAACATGCAGGTGAATGGCCCCACCTCTAGAAATCAGTTCCGCTAGTCTCATTTACAATAAACAGCTCGTTTCCCCGATGGAGCTTTGGGCCCATGAGGGTTTTCCTGGATTTGGTGCCAGCAGCTCCCGGAGCTGCTCTCAGGCTCACTTGCTGTGTGTTTGTGTTTCGCAGGGAGGCACCCACCCTCGGCACCCAGGTCAGAACTGGAGTGAAGACCTTTTCTTTATTGGCTTGACTTTTATCAATTGTCTGGTGTTTCAGACACCATGAGATTTTAATGTTTTCGTAAAATGTACTCTGAACTTTAAGAGGGGCCGACACACTGGAGCAAGGTGTAAAGGCGTCTGGGCCTGGGGCTCCAGGTGCTGCCTCTGCCACGTGCCCCTGACACCCCCACGTGCCCTGCAGCAGGAGGCAGCTTCTTCTGTGGGACTTCCTCTCCCGAGCCGGGGGTCTGAAAGTCCGTGTATTCCTGCCTCTCCCACCGGCCTGCTGCCTGCGACTCTCCCTGGCCCAGGCTTGGCAGCATTACCAGGAAGTCAGCCTTTCTTAGCAGCTGAGCCTTTAATCCTGCAGCTGCTGTGCTCCCTGCCTGTCCTTCAGCCGAGAACAAGATGCGAGTGTGTGTGTGGTCTGTGTCCACAGGTGCACGAATGTGTGTTCGCACGTGTGGCTTGTGCGTATGTAGCGCGTCAGTGTGTGGTGTATATATGTACATGGTGTGTGTTGGTGTATGCATATGTGGTGTGCTGCACGTACGTGCTGCATGAGTCGTGTGTGCCCGTATTCATACACGATGGGGCAAAAGTAAGTTTACAGATATTTGTGTGGAAAATAATACAATAATTTGTAACAATATGAGAATAAAGTCTGTTTCACGTGCTCTTGACTATGAACCTACTCTTGCCCCATTCTGTATATACGTGTTAGTATATAAGTGTGGTGTGTGCATGTAGTGGGTCAGTGTGTGGTGTATGTGTACGTGGTGTGTGTGTGTGCATGTGGGACACGTGTGTGTGTACCTGCCTGCCTGCTTAGAGTAGCCCTGTCCTACCGGAATAACCACACACGCCTCGTGTTTCATACACGCTTCATATGCTATTCTGTGCAGCCCTGGAGGTTTCTAGGCCGAGGGCCTTGCAAAAGCCGACACTTTGTCTTTTTCATTTGTTCTCTCTGGAAACGACCTGATGACTGGGCAGGGCCCTGACCTCCTGGTAGAACCAGTGAGAGGCTCGGGCTGCAGAGCCTCAACACCGTGTTTGCAGCTGCCATGCCTGGCAGGGCCAGTGCCTCTTGCGAACAGGTACCAGGGGCCTGGGCGTATCTGCAGGTGAGATGGAGAGCAAACGTGGAAGCTCGGGGTTTACAAGGGTCATCCTGGGATCCACTGGGGGCTCTGAGCAGCCCTGAGTTGATAAAGAAGGAATTGAGGGTCACTCTGTTGTGGCTCTCTGCAGAAGTAGTTGGAGTGGGGCGGGTCTTAGAAGACCAGCAACCTCTAAGGGGACTCCATAGGAATTCACATCTTCCAAATAGCCCATGAAATCCCACCTCCTCCTCCGACTTGGTGGAACGGAGGCAGTGGGTCCACTGGCCCCTCGTACAATGTGTCACTTTCTTGATGGTCCCCGTCACAGGGTGGGTTTCAAGAGCACCTTGTCCTTATTTTGAAAGTCTGTGAGTGTCTGCTCTATGAAATAAAACCGGGGGTTTCTGACACCAGGACGGAGGGGACCAGCACAGCTCCCAGTTGTTCTGGTAGGTTCTGTTTCGGTTCACTAGTCTCATGCACCGGCCCAAGTAAGTCAGCAATCTTGGCTTATTTATTCATATATTCAACAGTATTTTCTGAGGCCCCACTCTGTGCCCTGCCTCGGGTTCAGTTCTGAGGAGCAGGGGCCACGTTGGGTATTTTCAGTAGACACTGAGTAGGGAGCTGCTTTTAGGATCCCTGTGCTTTTCCCGCCTCTCCCCGAGGGTGAGCGGGAGTCCCGCTCCACCCTGCATCTCATCACCCGGACCCCTCATTGATCAGGTGGTGACTTGGGGGCACGGGCTTCCATTGAGACGGATAAATTCCAATGTCGCCCCGTGAGATTTTGGTCCTTGCTGTTGAGACCATGTTCTTCTAGTTTGGGTTGGGGGTCAGTGGAGAGGGGATGCTTGAAATGAGATCGGTGAGCAAGTCAGTGGAATAAAAGGCAGAGTATGAGTTATCTCCAGAGACAGGGGAAACTACACAAACTTGGAAGAAAAAGGGGTGCAGTCTACTGTTGGGGGCCTCCTGCCTCTGACTGGAGCCTGAGAGGGTGGGCTCCGCAGGGAGAGCCTCAGGGTCTAAGATTGGGCTCGGAAGGCAAACTGCTGGGCTGGAGTCCTGCCCTCACCTTGAATCAGCTGTGACCTCAGGCAAACCACTAAAATCCTCTCTGTCAGTTTCCTCATCTGCAACATGAGATAATGCCTTACATAAGATCCTACCTGTAAAGCACGTACCACAGTGTCTGGAATATAGTAAGTGCTCAACAAATGTCAGTTTCCAAGACTGCATAGCCATCTCTACACACCCGGTGTTCTTGAACCCTTAAGGAGTCTGAATGTGGCCCCTGGCAGAGGAGGGAGGGCTGCGCATTTTCCTGTCCCTGTGGCTCTGAGTCAGCCTCTGTTTGCCTCCTGGCCACGCCCCGCCCCCATCCAGATTAGGCAGATGGGCTTGCTCTAAAGCCTGCAGCTTCCTCTGGGGCAGCTCCGGGGCCAGGCAGCTGCTGTGTGATCCACTGTCGCCCCTTGTCTCCCTGCCAGGGATGCTGCCTTGAGCAACTGACCCCTCTGGAGGTTGCGCATGCCAGCCCGGCCAGGAAACGGAGGACTCCGCAGACCCAGTCCTCCCCACGCTTCTTCTGCACAGAAACGCACGCTCCTGGCTCATCCTCGGCTTCCAGAACCTCTGAGGCCGGAGGCCCCCAGTTCTACCTTATGTGTGGGGCGTCTTGCCAGCCATGACCCTGACACTCACCTTCCTGCTGCTGCTGGGGCTCTGCTGGAACACCATTTCCGAGGGGCCTCCATCATCCTCAAGGAGCCCCGCTGGTCTGGAATTTGAATTGCCCTCAACGAACTATGAGACCAAAGACTCTTACACACCTGGGCCCATTGGCGTTCTCTTTCAAATGGTGCATGTCTTCCTCCACGTGGTGCAGCCCAATGCTTTTCCAGAAGGTAAGTGGCGGTGGCGGCAAAGATAGACTAGTTCTCCGAACAGCCGTGCATACACACTCAACAATGTTCATTAATGACAGCGCGGCCACTGTACATTATAGTCATTATTAAGGATGAGGGTCAAGGTGGTGAACTGCGTAAGAGCAGGAAGGATTTCCACAGAAGTTAAGAAAAGTGGTACCAGGTTCAGGAGGTTGTCGAGAATGCGATGAGAAGAAACAAAATCAAACTATGTGCTCTGGTTTTCCAACTCTTTATCCTCCTCTCCTTTTTTTTTTCTTTTTTCTTATTCTCTTAGGCTAGAGCGATGACTCATTCTCAAGTACACGCCAAAGGTAAAACTTAGGGTAAAAATGCAGATTCTCTGTCATCAGATGAGAAGTTAATAATGACCTCATGGCTGAACAATGCAGCACTTCTCTATCCACCACAAATTGCCATTGACATTGCTTCCAGCAAGGACAGGCTCGGCCAAACCCACGCACCTGAGGGACCGTGCGTTCAGTTCTCAGAGTTTGCAAGGCGAGGAGGGGTGGCCCTTTAGGTCACCTCCATGGTATCTGGTGCTTGTGTCCTTTACACCTGCAACTACGTGGGCTTCTTGCCATTGCTCGCCCTCCTGGGCTGTAGCCAGAGCCTTGGGGGGGGGGTGTTTTCAGGGACAGGGTTAGGAACTTTACACGGGTCCATGGCGAGTCTGCTACCAGGGTCGGCAGCCGAAATTTTTGTTGGCTTAATTTTAGATCTGCCCCAAGCTTGTTCTTTAAACCACACAGATCTGAACACTATCATGATTACTAAAAATTGTAAAAATTGTGGAAATTTGTATCATCTTCCTTAGCTTGTCAGCTACTGTTTGTAAGAGAGAGAGGGGGATGGAGGTGGGGAGAGAGGGAGAATGTATTTAGTAAACTTTAGTACTTGTTTATATTATGGGCAGTTTATGGATTTTCATTAAAATACATTTATATCGAAATATTTTTACATGTATTTGTCTTAGACCAAGCAGATGGAACAGTTTTAAGTGTAGTTCTCATTTTTCTTAAGTTTAAATTTTGATTTAATGAAATAAATTACTTTGTGCCCTGTTGTCTTTAAAAAGATTCCTGAACACTACTTACTGTTTATGTAATTGCTTAGGAGACTAAATTTGAAAATCCAAAAAAGCAGAAGTAGAAAATACACTGAGTTTATTTATTTACTTTGAATACAAATTCACTGTTTTCAATACATATCTCTTTATTCGTAGGCGTGATATAAATATTACTGAATGAACACATACCTACTAGTGTTTCCGCTGGCTTCTTTTTTATGTAAGAGGCATAGAGTTCAGTTGTTTATTATGAACTTACAATGATGTCTTAAAATGTGTCATTGTAAAGCATATCAGATACTGAGTTAATCCTGTAATCTCTTTCCATATGTTGTTCTATTTCCCTTCCTCCAGATTTCAGAGGAAGACTTCCTTGCACAATTTTACAAGGAAAAAGGAACATTTTAAAAAGTCTTCATTCAAATGATCAGGTTAAAAGATATTCTATTTCCAACGCCTTCTAAGGTTATGAGCTCCAACATCATTATTAGTCTAGAAGGAAAATTCTGAAAAATTTAGATCCCACTGTAATCTGAGGGAGTTAACCTTGTTTGTCCCCTTGACTTTATTTAATAGTTATTATTTCAGAGAAAGAAATTCTCAAAAGTTTCAAGAGTAGACCAGAGCAGACCAACATTATTCCATTCAAAAAATAATTCTTAGGGCTATTGAAAAAATATAATTTCTTAAAGGGGACTTTGCCCACAACCCAGGCATATGCCCTGCCTGGGAATCAAACCAGTGACTGGTTGGTTCACTGGCTGGTGCTCAGTCCACTGAGACACACCAGCCAGGGCATAAAGAATATAATCTTGAACTCTTGAATCAAGACTATGACCTTGGAATGTCGTTTTTTTCCACCACCCCATTATTCATATTCTTTCACCCAGTTACTGGACTTCCTCATAGCCTCAAAGTGCCCAGTGGATGCCTTGCTGCACAATAGACCCCCGAGGCCAGCGTGGCTTTTGCATGTGGGGCCAGTGCATTTCACCATTGCCTCCTCATAGGTAGCCGTCTGCGAACTTGAAAATGGAAAAATAAAAAAAGAGGTGGATTCTTGCGTGTTTACTTCACTAATTTATGGTAATATACTAACCAAAATAGAAGTCTTTGGGGTGAGCCCTCGAGGGAGAAGACCCTGCTTCTCTCTTCCAAGAAGATATTATCCCATAGGTATAGTCTTTCACTGGAAAGAGAACATGTGTTCTGATGCCAAGTCCCAGTGCAGGAGTGGGAGGGGAAGAGAGGGCCCTGGAGGCTGGGTTCCCTCTGTTCATGCCATCGGACTGGGGAGCTTTCTACTTTTACGTTCTGTGTGCAACCAAAACGGTATACCAAAAAAAAATTTTTTTTTGCATTTGGACCTCTCTAAACAGAAACACATGTTTCTGTTATTTAGCTAGTACTTGAGACAAAGGCTTCCTTAACTTCCTGGGAATAGAAAAGCTCAGCTTAGGGAAGGCCAGGAAGACGATAGCTGAGGTAGGTGCTCTGGAATCTGGCCGGGGTATTTCCTAACGACCTGCCTGGCCTGAGGCTGCAAGAGTGATGCAGTGTCTGCAGTGTCCCGGCACGGGCTCACCCAAAAGAGAGGGATGGGAGGAGTCCTTTGTCCCTGTTGAGGGCTGGATGCCCGAGGGTGTTGAACACCCTTTGTTCCAGGGAGGGAAGGGGCATGTCTGGAGAGTGGAAGAGACTGTGGTTCATGGTGGACCCCTGAGGTGGCTGTTCGTGGACTAAGACCACCTCAGTCAGGGAGCCAGAGAGGACAGGCAGTTCAGGGAGTTTTGCAGAGGGAAGGAAACTGAGGAAGCTGAGGCTGCACAAGCAGAGGTTTCATTCATCCAACAGGCATTTCTTGAAAGCCCTGCTTTTGGTGATGGTGCACCATGCTGGGCACTGTGAGCTGGTGAGGAAGCAGGATTTGGGGAAAAGAATCTCAGCAGCTGGCGAGAGAGGTCACAGGGAGGCGGAGGCTCTTGTAGTGGGTGCAAAGGGAGGTAATAATGAACTAACTCAGAACAAGTTAAACATAATGGGGGGAATGGAGGCCGGATCCACTTTCCGTCCAAAGGACTGTGTTTAAATCCTAGCTCCCGCCTATTGCCTGCTGCATGATCTTGGCCAAGCTGTTTCATATTCAGAGAGACTGTTATAGTCACATAGATGTAATGTGACTATAAATGTAACGTACTTTACAGTGTGTATCTGTGAGGCTTACCTGGCTGTACTAATATTATTATCTGAGAGGAAACACTGGCCAAATTTGACAGTTAGTTTCCAGAGGGGAGGTGGATAAAGGAGGTGTCAGTAAAACTTCTGGTGTCTCCAGGAGGGGTCAGTAAAACTTCTCTCGCTGCTTCTCCCTCGGGGACATTCCTCTGGGAGGTACCTTGGAAGAAGCGGTTCCACTACTTTTGAAGTTAAGTGGCTGTGCCTCCTGGCAAGCGCCACGGTAGCAGGACTGGAGGAAGAAGCCAGGGCTTGGACACAGGGCTGCTCTGCTGAGCGGTCTCTGCTCCTCCACTAGGACATCGCCATCTCACGAACTCTCGCTTCCTCTGCTCCTCTCTCCTCTCCTGCTGTCCCTCTTGCCCACTGTAACACCACGTCTTTGCTGGTGTTTGCTCTTTGGAATCTCCCAGCAGCTTTGAGTGGCAGATGATCGTGGTAGATGGTGGTCTTACTTCTCATTTGAATATCCCTCCCCCACTTACAGATGGGAAAACTAAGTCAGGATGAGAGTGCATGTTCTGGTCACATGACTAGCCAGTAGAAGGCTGACAAACCCATCTCCAGGACTAGCTGTCACTTCTCTCTTCCCCCGCTTCCCTTGTAGATAATTTATTTCTCTTTTATTTTAGCATAGTACTTGTAAACTGACCGTGGGATGCTATGAAAAAAAATAGGAATTTTTACACATTGACAGTGGACATTGCAGAAGGTTACCTGGCATAGAGGGTGAGGTGAGCCCTTTTCAGTCTGCTGTGTCTGTGACTAATCGGGCAGAAATGGGGACCCAGATCAGAGCCATCGTAATGAAACAAATGAAAAAAGAATGTCCCCTCTGCTTTTATTTTTTTTAGAAATTCTCTAAAATTATTCTCTGCCCTTTTTTTTTGTATATTTGTAAGTTAATATAGGATGGTCGTTCTGCTTCCAACAGCATTGGAGGCTAATTGGGTTTGCGCCTGGGATTTGACGGTGTGAGAGCGGAGTTGGGACAGTGGCAGAGTGGGAGGAAGGGAGATGGTTTCTGCGGGACCTGCGGCGCCCTCAGGGTGTTCGGTTACGTGGGAGCCCCTTCTGGTGCAGGTGACAGAGACCTACCCACCAGCTAAGGCGATCGCAAACAGGAGTTTATCATCATATCATCCTCTAGTTTCTCTGTGTCTGGGATGCTCCGGGTTGGCCCTCCGATTCTGAGTATCTTTGCTGGGTAGAGCAGCCTCGGCTGTAGGTTTCTACTTTTCATGACTTTGAATATTTCTTGCCAGAGGAGTTCATCATTGCCAAACCATTATTACATGAAATGATAAAAGGACTTATTTAAGAAAAAGAAGTAAAAATTGGTTAAGTAAATAATGATGTATTCTTACTGTGGGGCACTATGCAATCGTTAATATTATTTATGTGAATAAAAAGAAGATCCAAACTATGAACAATAAAATGGCAAAAAGTACAAATCTATTGACAATTGAATCTAAAAAAAACAAAAGCAAACAAGAAGAACAAAGAATGGTGGATACGGAGAGCATTTTGATGGTTGTCAGATGGGAGGGGACTGTGGGGATGGGTAAAGAGATGAAGGGATTAAGAAGTACAAATCGGTAGTTACAGAACAGCCATGGGAATTTAAAGTACAGTGTAGGAAATGGAGCAGACAAAGAACTTACACGCATGA